AAGATTTTGGTACTGTCATCCAATGGTAAGATTTTGGTACTGTCATCCAATGGTAAGATTTTGGTACTGTCTCTTAGGTCATGGAATGAAAGGAAGGATGGGGTTTGGGGAACAGAGGCCCCCCCCCCCCTCTCCCCAGACGTATTCGGCTAATTCAAAACTGATGAAAAATGAGCAAGGAATGTAAATTTGTGATTTCTACATTGGGCAGCTGCCCCAGCACTAAAGCATGATTTCTACATTGGGTAGCTGCCCCAGCACTAGAGCCCTGATTACCATCGTTTATTTTAACAAAGGGTTAGATGAACTCTGCAACAAATTAGGTATCAGTTCTCCCGGCACAGCTGACTCCCATCACCAACACTTAAAAGTGAAAACGACCATTGCTGGAAAGTGGATGATTCGTACTGGTCCATCAAACTGACAAGTGTGAGAAGCTCTGGTATTAAAATTAAATGATACATTACCTTAAAAACTAGTTAACAAGATGGTTAGATTTAAAGAAGTTCAACAGCTTTTTCAAAAAATGTTCAGAAAGTAAACAACTATTTATTTCTTTTCATTAATATTTATTTTCGGTTATTTTATCAGAAAACCAATGAAAATTCACATAATGTACACAATAAATTATGAAAATAGCCAATGTCAATATGTTGGCAGTATTTATGATGTCCAATAAGCATAACATAACTAGGTCATTGGGTAGATTTCATTGCAATGTCTCCATTTCTTTGATACTTTTAGAGTTTTAGCTAAAGAAATGGATATATTTACAAAAAATGAGAAATGTGTAACCTCAGGCAAAAAAAAAAGAACTCTTTTTAACAAGTACAAGCTTCACCATAACAATAAAAAACAATAACAATGCTGAATGCCCAAAGTTTCATTGAGTAGCAAAATGGTTATTAAAAAGCTGTGATTAAAAGGCAGCCCCAAAAAAACCAACACATTCCCCGAACTCAAAGATATTTCTGGTGGACATGAGAGCAACACACTTATTTTAACATGACCTCAACCTTTTCATCAAGGTTCCAGCTGAGAGCGGTACTCTAACTTTCAAAAATATTCTTTTAGTAAACACAAGATTCAAATTTATGTTCAATATATAAATATAAGAATTTATTAGAGTTATGTTATGGGAAGACAACCATTTTTGAGACATTTTATAAATTTTTTTGGAGCCCCAGGCAAGGGCAGATTGTTTAAATGTCATTATAGATGTAGATTAGTTGGTTTTTTAAAAAAAAAGAGCTGCATCTATTCTTTGGGTTGCCATCCACCGAGTTAAGTCAATCTTATTTGTTGGTTTCTTGTCTTGTCAGGCTGAAGGGAATGTCACATTATGTTGACATGTCAAGGTGAATGAAGAGTGTCACATGGAATAATAACCAGCTATTAACTGTTTGGTGTCAACCAATGTACAAGAATTCTATAATACCAGGTTGTCTCCCTTGTCAGTTGCAACCAACTGTCACTGTCATTTAAAGCCACATTTAAACATTCACTATTTGAAACCTATTTTATTATATAAGATAACATAAAATGACACGAGACAATCAACTGCTGAGCTGTATGTAAAAATGATATTCCCCCATTTTTTTTTATATGCCTCCACATGTAAGAAAACCCTGGGATCAAAATTAACTTTTGAAATAATAACAATATGCTGGTTTGCATACTGGCAAAATCCACTTGTTTTCAAGGCACTGTTTCTCCCCAATTCCATCTGTGACATCTCTCAATCATGGCAATGATGAAACCTGAAGTTTGATAAATTACAATGAAAGAAAGGACCAGAGTAGTAAGCATTTAATAATGCACCAGAGACCCCACTGACTGATGCAACTTGGACTGACACAATGCCTTGCTAGTGTCTGACATCAGCAAAACAGACAATTTCTGCCTGTCTAAAACTTTTCATGGAATGAAGAAATAGAGAGCGCAATTATCCATTGCATTGAGAGCAAACATTCATCCGTACTGTAAAAAGTTAAATGAGGATTTTTGTGTCTGGAGTTATCAACACTTACAGCTTCACGGTGCTTTACCCTTCACCACTACATCAGTTTTGGTACGGCATCCTCCAGGACATTTATTTTAATATTTCCACTTTTTTACAGCTACGTGTAAATAAAACGTTGACCTTAAATACATGGATGCACACTATTTCATTTTCACATTTTAAGTAAGTCACAAAAATTACTGTTAAAAATAGCATTAAAAAATCTATTTCGGTTGCACACCAAAATAGAAAGTTTTGTTTTTTTTCAACTTAGAACTGTAACTCTATAATGTTTGAAGAAAATAATTTTTAACCATTTTGGCACCAAAAAAATGCCATTGGCGCTTAAAAGAAATAGATAATCTGAGACTTTGGTGCAGTAGGTGTTGAATAATATCAATTACAATAGGTAGCATAAACAAAGAACAAATTGTTATTAGTGCAGATTGTTATTTTGGCCTCGAAACAAGTTATCCCTCGGTCAGTTCCAATTAACAGAAACAAAACAAACTTCATCATCTTTGGTCTCTTGTGTTATATCGAAGTATTGTTTGCATGATTCCTATATTGTACAAATCCTTCCGTGATCAAGTCATGGGTCTTTATAAGCAAACCAATCTTTTTGGGCAGAAGATCTGGTGTATTGGTCGGTCTTTGTCAGTCGCTGACCTCTGTGTTTCCATCCTGCGTCGCCGTTTCATCAGGGGATTCATTAAATGCTGCAGATTCATCCATCTTTTCTCCTTTGCCTGATCTCCCCAGGCATGTGATATGATAGACGGTGCTGCCATCAGCTTCAGCCGTCACTGCTTTCACAAGAGCTTCTGAACCGTCATCTAATTTGAGAATCTGTAACCAACAAAACAATAGTGTTGAGTAGGGCAAGTAAACAAGATCTGAAAATGATACGGTCTTTATTGGGCAATTCTACTTTTAAAATACTAAATGGCCAGCTAGGTTATCTTTCCATCCTAATGAATAATCAAATTATTTTGTCATTTTATTTTCCTTCCACTTAAATCTTAAATATTTGTAACTTAAAAAAAAAAAAATGAACATCTTAACGTTTGCCCCGGTAACCCACCTGTCCTATTTGAGTGCCTTCCAGGATCCTATGAAAGTCTGTGCTACTGAGAAGTGCTGACTTTATTGGTCCTTTGCTGTTCTCCCCTTCCTCATCCTGCTGCACATAAATGGTTAGAAGATTTTTTAGAACCAAGAAGCCCTGTGTTTTGGTATATTTCCTATTCCTTCAACCTGAATGAAGTCCTCTCCATATTTACAGGACTTACACAAACAACTTTGCCTCAAGACTTTTTATTTCTTTGGACTAAATGGAAACTAAAGCCAAACAAGGAAAACAAATATTTTTTTTTATCTGTGCAAGCATGACTTTTGTTTCATTTGTTAAAAAAATTATAATACGGTACACAATTTTTGTGTATCAAGTAAAGATAAAGATTGTTAGCATTTTTTGAAAATAATGTGCAGTATTGTTACAAATGAAAAATCAATCATCATCTTGCAGCTTTCTGATAGATCAAAGAATTCATGTTCATGCAATAAAAAAAGGGTCATTTTTAAGAACTGGTTTGTGAGCATGTCTTGGGTTGTGTATATTTGGTCTTGAGTTGGGGTAGGGGGGTGGGGTGGGGGTGTAAATGGTATTCTGTAATGGGCTAAATTGTGGTGGGTTGAAGTCTAAATGTCAGTAAACATGTCAGCATGTTGGGATCATATATGTTAGAGTGTGTGGTTTGGATTCTGAGAGTGGCAGTGTAGTGCGTTGAAAGTTCTCTTTAGTCGTGGTAGTTCAGTGCAGAGTGCTGGATTTGAAAATAGTTAATGGTATCGTAGCTGTCCTTTTGGGCTTTATTTATATACACTGTTATATTTTTGTGTACAATAGACAATAATTGAGCCTTAAGAACTGCCTGCAAGTAGTCTTACCTACCTCTGGACTTGGTAACTGTCATTGGTGGGATAATTTTAGCAATTGTTATTGAAATAAACTAATCAAACAGTTGCACGCATTGCCATTTTCTTTTTTATGAATACTAATATCATTGATATTATAAACACTAAGATATTTATTTTAAAAAATACTGTGAATGTAAGTGTTTAAATGACACTTTGCTTCCAGATTGTTGATACTGCATACATTGCTAACTGACTCCACAGCTGTACAAGCTAATTGTGTACATGTATATTAGAATGAACAAGATGTGACCTACTTTGTGCTTTCTTAGATGTCTATGGCAGGAACCCATGTCATGAAAAGTTGCTGAACACACACTACACCGGTAAGGCTTACGGCCATAGTGCTGGTTCTCATGATCGATCAGATACTGTTTACGGGTGAAGGCTCTACTGCACAATTGGCATCGGAAAGGCCGTTCACCCGTGTGTTTGATCATATGCCTCACCAGATCTCCTATTGTGAAAAAAAGATAGCACAGAGTAATATTCACTGAACTCAATTTTATTATAGATGTCTTTTTTAGTTTACAAAGCAATGACAATCAAGACAAAAATAGCTTTGTTTTCCCCGTTAAAAATATGATTTAAAAATGTATTAGACCATTGCTTCTATTAAGATACAGGGACACATGCTTGTCAGCAATTATAGTTTTCCGCCACCCACAGCATGTTAAAATAAATGGTAGGTATTCATTGTTTGGAATTAGTTTTTGTGTTATAGATTTGAAGTGAAAAGATTGTTCTCCTGACTATTATTGTTAATAATCCACTGTCTCAATGGGTTCACACAGCTTCCAAAACTGAAACAATGAGCACTATAACAGTGCTCATTCATGAAACCATTTCGAACTAGACCCTGTGAAAACAACACTGACTGCCTCGGTAAAATTACTTGGAGTGAAGTCTTCCAGTACCTTTAGTGTAACACTTTGTTGAGCATTCGTTACAAGGGTAACTGGCCTGGCGCTTGTGCCGCTTGACGTGGACATCCAGCTGACACTTTTGCCTGAAAGCTTTCCCACACAGATCACAGAGGTGACCTTTCTTGTTGGTGTGCCGATCCATGTGGACAATCAAGGTGCATTTCTGAGTGAAGCCCCTGCCACACACTGTACACCTAGAGTTATCATATAATGAAATAAAAACAGGTTACTTAGTTGAATGAAAAATAATCAGAATCCACTTTTAGAAAGTTGCATTCAGGGAAATAATAAACCCCATGCCAGTACTTGAGATACAGCTGCCATGTTTTTTATTCGTACGAAGATTGAATGGTAGCAGTCAACTAATTTAGACATGAAAATACTTGAGAGAACTACCAGAAAAGGCATTTTCTAAAATGTCTTCATAAATAAACATGCAACAGTAGATAAATTTAGTCATCATATCCTTTTCAATAAACAAAAATAGAGCTAAGATTATATGTATATATTTATCTATGATGGCACCGCTAAACTCTAGTTCCCACTGCCAAACAAAAGTGTGATTTCATGTGAGGGTGGTGCAAGTTCATGTCATTAACAGGCTATGGTTAGCAAAGTAGAAACAGCTGCTGGAGTCTGACTAGAGAACAGATTTTAAATCCAATGCTTCTGGTTTTGTCGAAATTGCAAAGGTATATTTAGGGGGGGGGGGGGAGGGGAAAGAGGGGGGGGGGGGGGATAGAGGGGGGGGGAGTGGAAAGAGGGGGGGGGAGAGTCAGGACATAATGCGGTCAGAACCCTTTGATGGCTGTTTAACTTAATTTTTTTTCTTGTGGACCTTGACTTATGTGCTTGATGTCCCTTTGATGAATAACTCAATGTATTAATGTATTACGTGAGTTAATTATATGTCACATTAAATTTGGCTTTGAAATATAAGTGGTCATCAATGTCAGAATTACTGCCATCAAGGTGCTCTTAAGTAGCAAACATTTTGATGCCCCTGATCTAGATTATATGCTGCTGAGAGATAACTATGGAAAATACTTTTAAAATTATTTATGTACAAATGGCACATTATAAAGCATATCACATACACAAATGGACGTTCCCCAGTGTGTGTCCGGGTGTGAATTTTGAGTGAACGTTTCTCTGTGAAACTTTTGCTGCACTGGGTACACTGGAAAGGTTTGAGACCCACATGTGTGGCTTCGTGTCTGTCTCTGTTGGCCTTGGTGGTAAATCTTCTATCACACTGTCCACAGCTGTAAGGTCGGACTCCTGTGTGAATCCTCATATGGGCTGGAATGTACATACACAATTCAGTAATTTTATGCTTTGCACATTTCAGATTTGCTCTCAAATTAACGCAAATGATTATGACATGTGGAGCATTAGATGTGGACACCAGGACAAAATGTAACTCAACTTTGTCAGTAATATCCGCCATGTACATAACTTCAAAAGAGTTGCAATATCCTTTTTTAAAGCCTTTATTTAAGTATTATAAATCAAGTTATTTGTCCCCTTGAGTGAAAATTTTAAAATATCCTTCATGAAAATGGAATTACTAAACAAACTTGTTATGTTAATTATGTTATTTTATAACACCGTTATGGCAACTTTTCTGCTAAATAAATTATAAAATAATGAAGTTGATGATGCAATGAAAGGCAAGGGGTTGTCCATGAAGGCAGTCAGCACAAAGTAGGATTTTTGTCCACACCTCCCCTCCCCTTGTCCTCCATTGTCACCTCACCCCACCCCACTCCATCCCACCCCACCCCGGTTGTGGACATCCTCAGGGGCATATGGAAATTAACAGTGCAAAATGCCAGGAAGTATAATAATGATTATAAAGAGCAAAGAGTCATTAGATTTAAACTTCTAAATCAGTATGATATGGGTCCATCCATTGATTATCTATGCACTGTGGAGGAGGGAATTTTCGATTTTGGAGATTATGTGAAATCCATGATATTTAATTAATTTTTAGTGTCTTAAATGAAATAACAAAAATGGTTTGTATTAATCCACATACTGTAGCTTTGTGTGACATATTTTTTGACTTGATCATTTCATTTGGCTTAACCAAACAGCTGCACTGGGCTAAAGTTAGTGAGAGGGACCAAGACACGAAGTTTAACAAAACCTACGGCAGTACAAATTGTCTCCCTGTGATTGGAGGGGGTGGGGGTGGGGGCGCTATGCTTACACATTAGGAACATTTAGTTGCATTACACTTCATTATAGTCCATGAAACATTGGGGGGGCTGGGCAGCGGCACGCCTCTGAGAGTTCAATGTGTGTGCACATATGGGGATGGGAGCCGAAAAAGGATAGATGCAATAAGTGTAATATGTTACTTTTTTTTTGCATATGGATGTCCATTACATAAATCATTAAATTAATCAACAAGAGAAAAAACTTACATTGTTTACATTTGTTGATAAATAAACCAAATATTTACAGTTATCTCCCTTATGAAAATTTTCCCACATTCTTGGTTTATGATTATAATTTTTTTCAAAATTTTGCAAGTAGATCAGCCATGGTGGGCATAAAACAGTATATGGCAAATTAAAAAAATTAATATTTTAGACAAGACCCTTTTCCTTGCTTTAGAACAACCCTTCCCTCCCCCAGTCTCTGTGGACATCCTTAATGTACAACCCCTATGTGATGGACAGTAGAAAGACATTCTTATCTCTTATTAAAGCTTATTTTCTTAGACACTTCAAAAATGTGTAAACAACAAAGTTTACAAATGAACATAAATATTTAAGAAAGGATGGCCCTCATAATCAGCATTGAAAAAAGAAAGGAACAAAATCAAAATAATGTGAAATGCACCTGTCATAGATGAGGCATAATTCAGAATTCGATGACAAATTGGACAAGTACGATCAACAATTTCTGCCTTAACATTGCCTGTTTCATCTTTAGCTTTTTTCTTTCTTCCTCTTTTCAGCTTCTTATCTGCCAAAATCTCATACTCAACAACATCATACTGAGCTTCTACTGGCTGACCTTCATACACGACAGTGCCTTCAACAGTGCTGGTGGCGTCAACCACATGGGATGAGCCAACAATTTGCACTTCACCACCTGTAGACCAAATGACATTGCCTACATGTTGTACTTCTAAAATCTCCTCTCCCTCAAGTATCTGAACAGTTTGTATATGTGAATCATCATAAGATCCTTGCACTTCCACAATACCAGACTCCACTTTAAGATTATCTTTAAAACTAGGTTCTGCTGATGCAGATGAACCTGTTTTCTTAAGCTCCTCTTCCAAAGCTGAGATAATGGTTTCAATATCAGATGCGTTACGAGGGGTCAAGTTAGTTTGCAGAGCAATCTGCTGTTCATTTTTATGCTCATCAGCTGCTGGATTGAAAGCTGCTCTAGCTTGCATCTCTACTTGTAACTCCACCATTTTATCCGCAAAATCTGTGACATTGTTATCTCCTTCCTGAATTATGACCGGAACCTTAACAGGGTCCGATTCCTGAGAATCCCCTAAGGATATATCTGGAAGAACCACCTGCATTTGGTAAGCTGCATTTTCTGAATGATGAAATATAGACTCCTCAATAGCATTCATGGATGTGTTGTGTAACTGAGATGAGTTGTGTTCCTGTGAAATGATACTCTGATCGTCTTGCAAATGTTCATCAATATTAGCCAAGGTGTTTTCTGATATCTGCATGACACTGTTCCCTACTGGAACTATAGTGATGTTAAAGTCATCATCATCCACTGCGGTTGCTTCTTCTTTGACAGTTGGATAAAACGTTATAGAGTCAACTTCCATTTTATCATTGCTTGATTCAGAAATGCAATTTTTTTTTACAGTGAGTTTGGAATCTTCAATGACTGAACATTTGTCCCTAATAACCCGAGCACCTGTAGATGACCTGGTTGTAGGACGCCCCACGGGCCAGATCTTTCGTACAGGTTTTTGCTTTTCAGCCTTGACCGAATTCTTTTCATGGTCATTTGTGGAACTTTCAGAAAAAGTGGCAGCCTGAGCACAAAAGTTTGTTGAATTAACTTTTAAAAAGCTGGAAACAGCCTTCAAGTCTTCATCAATTTCCTGAGGCAGATCATCTTTTGTAGCAACATGACCAGTTAAATCACTAGTGACTTTACTCACTTCAATGTCATTACAGTTACTGATAGCAGAGAAATCTAAGTTATCAAGATCTGCCTCTGGGAAAGGAATATCTGAGGCCGATTCTTCTCCATCTAAAATCGGAAGGGTTTCATAGTAATCGGCTAATTTTTTCTGATTAGCCAATTTTAATATTCGATATTTCCTATAACCCTTTTCCGAACATTTTACTGGCGCATAAATAGTAATGGCGCCTCTGTCAAGTTGCTGTAAACGATACTCCTCTAATTGTCTTTCTCTGGTATATTTACTTGACTTGGAATTTCTCCGAGGAGTTTCAACAATATCACCTTTGCCATTTACAGCTATTTTGACAGCTGATGAGACTGTTTTCCAGAATCGCCAAATGTCTTCTTTATCTTCATTGTTTAAAAATCCAAGAAGTGGTAAGCTGTCACTAATCTGTTGAAAAAAAAAAAGTTTTTATGTTTACTTAGGTTTTTTGAAAAATAAAGTATTATTAAATATTAAGTACAGTGGTAGAATGATTGAATAGATTAAATATGATGATTTGAATGATGCATTAGTCTTGTAAGAGTATAATATTGTTAATAGGCCTATTGGTTTAATAGAAATACATTTTAAAAATTACAATACATAAATACTTGAGGCCTTTTTCAGAGCATTAATGTGACTAAGGGCCCTTTTGTTTTTTTTAAGGGCCATAGCTAAAAATGACTGGTTCAGTTATCTAGAAGTAGGTAGGCTAATAATATGTATACTATTACTTATTGAGTAAAGGCCTAAATTGCTACTACCATTAGTACTATTACCATACAGATAGGCCCATACTAGTGTATACTTAATAGCCTAGGCCTAATATAGATAAATAAAAGAACTAATTAGATTATTAGAGTACCATCCAAAACCTACAATTTGATCACTAATGATGTTATGGGCTATGACACCTATCTGAGGCTATGTCTATGCCTATGATTATGATGGGGTAAGGGTAAAAAGAATATAGAATACATCATTTTGCAAGTATAAAAAAAATGGCAGTGTCTACATGTCAGACGACTGGACAAATCGTACGGGAGATAAACATCCGGCGGGCATGTCCCACTTTATTTAACATTGTCACTTTTTAACCATTTGTTCATTATATATACCAGCAATGGTTCTAGTATTTCTTTTGTAGAATTGAACACATTCCTTTTTCAGGTAAATGTCCAGACTATCTTGAATTTGTTGAAATAATAATAAAGTACAGCTGTAATTTGCTGTAAACTCTGATTAGTACTAGCGGTCAAGCGTCAAGGCTGACCTACAAATTTCTCGCGCAACTTTGTTAGGGCGGTTATGTGACTTGGTCGAATATATAATAGCCGGACAAATATCTTGAGAACTTATTCATCCGGTTGCCTGACATGTAGACACTTCGTAAAAAAATTTTCAATTCAAATAGACTAGGCACTAATAAACAAAGCAACTTCAGCTGATGTCTGGTCAGTGACATAAGGGCTGGAGAATTAATCAGAACACAATAATACTAGCTAAGGTTAGGTTAGTCAGTTCAGACTGATTCACAATTCAATTGAATAAATTAGCCAAATAATCATGTGTAATTTTAATATTTCAAAAGCAGGCTGGTTAACATAAAAAAATACATTATTTTCTTAACACAATTTATTTCAATTGTTTCAAAACTTTTTAAAGAGCCCCAAAAAAGCAAGAAAGGACTAACAAAATCAACAGTCAGGAAGCATAGGCCCTAAACAAACTAAAATAATAATATCGGTAATAGGTGGTTCAGTTATTTGGCCCCATTACATCAACAGAATTTTTTTTTTAAATACCTTGGCTTTGAAATTATTGAGAGCATTTTCAGATGTCATTTGCGGTATCCTTTTTGCCATTTACAACAATCACAGTGCAGCACCATACGAAAGTAGTTAATCATGGACATTTAAAACTTTATTATGAATGAAATATTGTTATTTAAATGAAACATTTGTTAATTCCCCTTACTTTTTTTTCTTTTAATAATGTTAACGTATTTTAAGAGATTCAACTTTTCGATTTATTCAATTATTATTATTATTTAATATAATTACTAAGGACATTTAATTCCTAAAGTTTAAATCCTTTCTTTTTCTTCCAAAAAGATGCCGTGAGTTACCTGTGGTGTGATGTTGTGATTAATATGTACGATGAATTTATTGTACAAGGATATTCTACAATCTATACGATAATCTGAAATGCTGTTTAATTAAGAGGAATGATGTGCTATAATATCTTGTATATCTTTGAGTGTGGCCCCTTATGGAGCGTGTCAAATATCTGTAGCCATTTTCTACTTAAAAACTTTAATAGAGCAAAAACATGGATGGTTCCCTTGTCAAGTTGATTGTTGGGGAGGACCCCCTCCCCCCTCCCCCAACCACCACCCAACAGCCCACCTCCATCTCTCTGGTATTTTCTTGACTAGGAATAAACATGTATTTTGACTTCTAATAAGACTGTCTCTCCCTAATAAATTATGACGTGGGATTAAAGATGGGAATCGAACCTTCTTTGAGAATTTCGGATTCTGTTCGGTAACAGCTAAAGTTAGAGTTCGATTAAATTCTTTAAAAACTTAAATTCGGGTTCAGTGATAATTAGTGATGCAATACTGTTTTTTCCCCGGCAAACTGGTTACAGATTGTTTAAACAGGTTAGGTTATTTACAATAAAGGCACACTCTAAATCAACAAAGACAGAGCGCGCTTTCAATCCTCTTTCATCACTTTTAATCTACTGCTGCGTGTCGTGGTTGGTTGCTTAAAGCTTGTAGATTCACCATACTACTGATGCGTATTGCCCCTACTCTCCAATCACATACTACTGATTCTTATTGCCCCCTCTCTACCCACATACTACTGATGCGTATTGCACCTACTCTCCACTCACATACTACTGATGCGTATTGCCCCTCCTCTCCACCCACATGCTAATGATGCGTATTGCCCCTCTTCTCCACCCACATACTACTGATGCGTATTGCCCCCCACTCCACCCACATACTACTGATGCGTATTGCCCCTCCTCTCCACCCACATACTACTGATGCATATTGCTCCCCACTCCACCCACATACTACTGATGCGTATTGCCCCTCCTCTCCACTCACATACTACTGATGCGTATTGACCCCCACTCCACCCACATACTACTGATGCGTATTGCCCCTCCTCTCCACCCATATACTAGTGATGCGTATTGCCCCTCCTCTCCACCCACATACTACTGATGCGTATTGCCCCTCCTCTCCACCCGTATACTAGTGATGCGTATTGCCCCTCCTCTCCACCCATATACTAGTGATGCGTATTGCCCCTCCTCTCCACCCACATACATACTGAGCCGTCCTGCCCCCCCGCCCCACCCACGCACATCTCACATCATCTTGGTGTCGTCAATTGTGAATCGTTTGTCTCATATGATACAGAAATACAAATGTGTTTGTTATTGAACAATAGAAGCTAGCACTGGATAAAAAGACGCGGTCACATAATGTTTTTTGTTTAATTTGTCACGCATTTAAACAAATAAAGGATATCACCAGGGTAGAGGTGGGTGGGGGGGATGATTAATTTTTTTTTTTTTAAGGATCATTTTGCTTGACAAAAAAAATCGTTTTTTCGATTAATGGATTTTCTATTTGAGTTAAAATAGAAGCATTTCTGGCTTAAGCAATGATATGCCACATACGAAAAAACATTGTCAGTTGTAATAAGTTTGTGATAGGTTAGCTCAAACTTAAATCATCCGGGGGCCGTAGGAGGTAGAGTCTGAGTGAGACTGGGCCGCATCAAGTACTCTACAAAGCGATAGTAAATTCAATTAAGTAAAAATGTTACAATCGGCTCAACCTTTATTAATAACAAATAAAAACATCTAGGGTTCTCAAGAAGCTTCACTCTCTTCCTCCTACACCTTGTTGCCACAAACCTGTCAGCGGCTCTTCTTACACAGCTGAGCAAAAGTTGGCTTGAGTGAGGAAGTAACTGAGACCCTCAGTACAGCTTGAAGATGCTCGTCAGTAAGTTTGGCCCCGAATTTTGACTTTTTAAAGTTCATAGTGAAAAAGTCATATGAACCTGGAAATCTCAGGGAAGGTGGAGGGCAATGTTCTCATAAACCGTTCATCCTTATGTGTTTTTTCCATTCACCTACCCGAACTTAGAATTTCAATGAAGATCAATCAGCTCCATTTGAAGCGATAAAAAAGTGTGTGTGTGTGGGGGGGGGGGGGGGGAAATCTTCCACATTAAGGGGGAAAGTGTCAGCAAAAAGTTGAAACGGGGCTCTGTGTGTTTTGAAGTCTAAAACATGTGATAAAAGTGTGGGTTGGAGGGGGAGGGGGGGTGGAAATCTTCCACATTAAAGGAGAAAGTGTCAGCAAAAAGTTGAAAAGTGGCTCTGTGTGTTTTGAAGTCTAAAACATGTGATCAAATTCTTCCTTTAGCTTTACAATGGCATCGGTATACTTACTACTGAATGGTGTGCCCAAGTCCACGAGTACCTTGAATATTGGGAAATGGCATAAGTTTCTCTGAGAACCATAACACAAGTTTTGTGTAGAATGCCCTGACATTGTCATAGGCAACACTGGCAAGCTACTCCTCGTCTTGTAACTTCTTGTTGAGTACATTCAGCTCATGTGTAATGTCAACATGAAAAGCCAAGTCCATGAGCCATTTGGGATCACTTAGTACAGGAACAACCACTACATCTTTCTCCATGAATGCTTTGAATGCTAAAACGAGTTCAAACAGTAGGCAGCAGCAGACAATATTTATGAATTATTGATGCGATGGAAGATTCTATTGTATGGAGAATGAATTGTGATTTTTTTTTATCGTAGAAAAGGTCTTTTTGGCTGACTCTATTTTGAAAGTGACAAAGCTGACAGGGTGGAATTTCCCTCACTCGTAAACACCAGTGGCTATTAATATAGGGATTCTTTGATACTGTGTCAGATGGTTACGATTTATACAATTATGATTGTCACTATCCACTAACTGACTTTCTAACCTTTTCTTAAAACCGCACTTTGGCCATGTTTGTCTCATAAAATGCTATAAAATAACAACTTTTAGTCCGATTTTAAAACGGTTGTACCATTATAACGGGCGGCGAGTTTGAGACCCCTGGGTTAGTTAGTGGTGGATTCGTGATCAGTGAAAGTTGAAGATCGAGTTTGTTCGTCAGCATGGTTATGAGTTCAGTTTGAGTTCGGTTGGGAATTAAAAAAACACAATCATCGATATCCGATTGATTTTCGAAAAGCTATTTGGTGTTGTGCCTTTTTTTTTTTTTTGGGGACATAAATCAATTTTATTTGAAACTTTAAAAAACAAAAAAAAAAAACAAACAAAAAAAATTATAATATAGCTCTTTAATGTAGAAAGGCAAATAAAATAATA